AGACCTCCTGGCCAGCTTCTCCCAGCCTTGGTGGGTCATAACCTCAGGGCCCATTTGCACAGTCTTCAGCATACAGTGCCTGCATGACCTCTCCTTATGATTCCTATGTGCGGTGGGGCTGTGGGTGGGATTCACTGGGTGGCACTCATACAGTCTGAACTTGTCTGAGATGAAGGGCTGTAACTCAGTTTACTGGAGTCTTGCTCCTTGAAATGGGCCCCCACCATGCTCCCCGCCCCTGCAGGCTCACTCTCAGTTCCCACCAGAGTCAGACAAGCCTCACAGACCAGCCCATCTCCAAGGTGGATCTACCAGGGGCCCTGCCTCCCAGGTACCAATCTCTTCTCTTAAATTGTCTGTTTTGATCCTCAGCTTCTTTGGATAATATTTGGGTGCCAGCAGACAAAGAGGGGGTGGGCTGTGTCCAGCGCCTACATCCCTGACTCCCCAGCTCTCGGAAACCCTGGATATTGAAGGGAGACAAAATCTCTGATATGGAAATCTGCAGCCAGCCCTGGTCATGGATCCAGCCCGTCAAATCCAGTACAGCTGGGGCAATGGCTGTACTTCTTTCCCGTGATCCCACTTCCCTTCCAGTGTCCTGGGCGGGGGAATGGTCAGGAGGCAGGCCCTGTCAGGGAGCTCCTCCTAAGCCCAAATGCCTATTCACGTCTCTGTTCCTCTCTTCACTCAGATCTCAGGCACCAACGCCATCTCCTCAGAGTGGAGGACCTGTCGCTGTTCTGAGGAGTGACACCAGCATCTCCCAGGTCCCTAGAGGGCCCGTTGCTCTGTCGTCATTTCCACGGAGAGTGATCTGCTGAGCCGAGTTCCCCTCCAGCGTGAGCTCAACCATCAATGCCTTTGAGAAGCCCAGGGCTGGGACTCAGGGCATGCAGAGACAGGAGCATCATCCTCAGGAGACGAGGGGCACAGACAGCCCGCTCCCACCTGGTCTCCTGAAGGACTTCATTCTCACACCCAGCCTGCAGCGATGCTGCTGCCCTGGGCTTTGCAGGAGACAGAGTGACCTGTCATGAAGAGACCAACGTGTGCTTCGGAGGCACAAAGCCTGTCCACCCACCTGCTGCAAGATCAGGACCAAAGGCTATGGACCACACATGTCACATGACAGAGCTGCCCTGACAGGAGGGGACTGTGGGGTCCAAACCAAGCAGCCTGGGAAGACGGCCCCGCACATACAGGCTGTGGTGAGCGGTGGAGGCTGGGCACCCTCAGTTCTCAGGCAGCCCAACACCAGTGCTGGCCTTGAATTGGTCAGTGCTGGGACGGACTTCAGACTTCCTGCCCAGGCTTCTCAGTGGCGTGGATGCAGGGATGCTTGGGGACAAGGTCTCTCCTTGATATTGGGATGCATTGCTGGGTAGCCAGGACACAGTCTTAGACTCTGTAAGTACATAGTTATATGCTTCTACGTACAAGTGGTTGTGTGTGTGTGTGTGTGTGTGTGTTCTGCTTTTCCCACTCCTGATAGTTTGTGTCATAATATTTAGTGTTTTTGATGTTTGAAATGCTTCAGTGAAATGAAGTTCTAGGGAATAGCCTAAAGCTGCAGAGTTCTCTCTCTCTCTCTCTCTCTCTCTCTCACACACACACACACACACACACACACACGTCCTTCACACACACATTGGCCTAAAGACAGAGAGAGATAATGGGCCAAGAAGACCTGAGTGTCCTTGGCAGCCGCAGTGACAGCAATGCTTGCACAGCCCTTGGCCCCACTTCGTGACTCACTTCTCAAATCTCCAAACAGCCCCAGACACCAGCTCCTATTATGAACTCATTTTACAGCTGAGTAAACTGAGGCTCAGAGACAGGTAAGCGATGTGCCTGTGGCCCACAGCCAGCAAGTGCTGGAGGCAGAATTCAAACACAGCCTGGTGCTCCAGGCCACTATGGGAGGCTGAGCGGAGTCCAGAAGTGGGGGAAGACCAGGCGCCAGGGAAGGAGGCCTGCGGCAGAAGCCTATCTCCCAGTGACCTCCAAGTCCCTGACCAAGCAGCAGCCTGCTGTCTGGGGCTGGCTCCATGGCCATGGGGTCCTTTCCACTACGGTTTGCAAACACATACCAGGAGGCCTCCTAACGGAAGCTCACTTGTGAACTCACCATCTGACTCACCACCTTTTTCATACTCTCAGCTGGGGAAATGGGAGGAAGGGAGGGGCCTCCATGGAAACTCAGCCCAGAAAGACCTGCAGGAACTCTTTAGGGTGGCTGGTGCTCAGCCTCTGGGCCACGACACAGACCCCAGCAGCCAACTCCACACAGAGTCTTCCGGCAGACCTCCACTAGCCCTGTCTCGCTCCTTGCCTGTTTCCCACCCCTTCCTACCTCTCTCAGTCTCTCCCTCTCCCATCTCCGCTCCTCCTGTCTCTTCTCTCTGTTTCTCTTGTGCACCCTTCCTAGATGTCTATGTCTTTGCTGTGCACTCTTTCCTGACCTGCTCTTCTCTCTAGCTCCTTTCACTGTTTCTCTGTGACCCTCATATTCCATTTTGTTGTCTTTCTTTCTTTTTCTGTGACTCTCTGTTGGTCCCTCTGTGTCATGGTCAGTAGTTCTGTGTCCCTGACTGTGCCTCTGTCTCCCCATTGCTGTCTCTGGTTTCCTCTCCAGGCAGAGACCAGCCCGGGGTCATGGTGAATCTGAGTCACCCTTCCGAGTTTCTCCTCATTGGCTTCTCCTCACTTGGTGAGCTCCAGGCCCTGCTGTATGGACCCTTCCTTGTGCTCTATCTTCTGGCCTTCGCTGGAAACACCACCATCATCATCATGGTCATAGCCGTCACCCACCTCCACACTCCCATGTACTTCTTCCTGGGTCACTTCTCCCTGCTGGAGATCCTGGTGACCATGACAGTCGTGCCCAGGATGCTCTCAGACCTGTTCACCCCCCACAAGGCCATCTCCTTCATGGGCTGCATGGCCCAGTTCTACTTCTACTTCTCCCTGGGCTCCACCTCCTTCCTCATCCTGGCCGACATGGCCCTTGACCGCTTCGTAGCCATCTGCCACCCCCTACGCTATGGCACACTGATGCGCTGGACGGTCTGTATTCAGCTGGCAGGGGCTGCCTGGGCAGCTCCCTTTCTAGCCATGGTGCCTGCCGTCTTCTCCCGAGCGCATCTAAATTACTGCCATGGCAACAGCATCGACCACTTCTTCTGTGACAATGCCCCTCTGCTGCAGCTGGCCTGCTCAGACACCAGCCTGCTGGAATTCTGGGACTTTGTGATGGCCCTGGCTTTCGTCTTCAGCTCCTTCCTGGTGACCCTCATTTCCTACGGCTACATTGTGACCACTGTGTTGAAGATGCCCTCTGCCAGAGGCCGTCACAAGGCCTTCTCCACGTGCGGGTCCCACCTCACCCTGGTCTTCATTGGCTACAGTAGCACCATCTTCCTGTATGTCCGGTTGGGCAAAGCACACTCTGTGGAAGTCAACAAGATGGTCGCCCTGGTGACCTCCTTCCTGACCCCCTTCCTCAACCCCTTCATTCTTACCTTCCGCAATGAGACTGTCAAGACTGCCCTACGGGAGCTGCAGAGGCTGAAGGGCCTCCACAGGGCAGCATGAGCCCAGGGGCCTGGTGGGCTCAGGCAAGGAGTTCCAGGAGGAGGCCGAGCCCTAAGCAGGATGGGAAGACCACTGCCCGCCTCCTCTAGGTTTTTCCTTCTGTGCCTCTGAGTGACCACTGCAGGGAGTCCTCATCCTGCCTTGAGGGATCTCGTAGGCCATCAGGGAAGGGCTTCCCTCTCCTGCTGGCAGCTACAGGGACTCTGAGCAGCCGCAGGAGTGGGCTTTAGGCGCAGGGGGCATGTGTGGGCTTCCTGTCCAAGGAGGAGCAGCCCGAAAGCTCTCTTACGGAGACATTATCCAGCCCCAGTATGGGGTGCTGTGGGGTGGGAGTGTTTTGTGTGTGTGTGGTGTTTGGTGTATGGTGTGTGTGATGTGTGTGGTGTGTGTGTCTGTATGTGTGTGGTGTGTGTATGTGGAAGACGTGTGCATTGTGTATGGTGTGTGTATGCACATGGTGTATGTATGTGTGGTGTATGTGCATGCGTGTGTGTGATGTGTGTGGTATGTATGGTGTGTGGTATGTGTGGTGTGCTCTGTATGTGTGTGGTGTGTGGTGTGTGTGGTATGTGCAGTGTGTGGAGTATGTGGTATGTGCGGTGTGTGGTGTGTGTGGTATGTGCGGTGTGTGGAGTATGTGGTATGTGTGGTGTGTGGTGTGTGTGATGGGTATAGTGTGTGGTGTGTGTATGTGTGTGGTACGTATGGAATGTGGGGTATGTGTGTGTGTGGTGTGTGTTCGCAGTGTGCTTCTCTACTCCAGTGTGGGTCCCATGGCTGAGTGTGTGCACCAGGAGCCTCGGGCTTCCTGGGATTACATCAGAACCAGACTTTCCAAAACAAAGGGATTGTTTTGCAGTGGGTGTGACGCCCATTGTGTAACCATTCATTTATTCACACGTCCTGCCAGCACCGCACAGGGCCCGTGTGCACCGCATGGGCTCAGGCATGGACGTGCTCCCGCAGGGAGCTCTTAGCCATCGGATGGGACCAGGATGAAGAGCTGGTTGCAGTGCAGGGGCGGCGGGTGACAGAAGCACACAGGCTTCGTGAGAGCCCCGACGGGGCCAACAAGCAGCCTGGGGGCGGGGTGGCTTCCCGATGAGGTGACGCTGAGTGACACATTGAATGTAAGGGGGTGTTTGTTGTCAGAACGCACTGGGATGGTCACTCTGGAGTCAGACAAACCAGATAAGACAGAGCACAGGTGTAATTCTCCCCTGGCATAAAGAAAAAAAAAAAAAAAAACATCTTCCAGGAATTATCCGGGCTCCTGGGAGGAAACTCCTCAAGAGTTTGGAAAGAGTGAAGCTTCTTTCCCGCACCATGAGAGATCCCATCTGTCTGCAGGCCGGGACTGGAGTCCATCGGCATTTCCTTTGTCTGAGCTCTCCAAATATGGACATGTTTCGTGACAGCCTGAATGTACCATCTCCCGTTAGAGTGAAGCCCATATCGCCTCCCCTCCCTCCTCGGACCCTAGTCTGCAGCTTGCTGGACTCAGGAGCATGGTGTTGTCTCAGCTTTTGCAGATCCTGGGTTTTCTCAGATATTTAAAATATCCTGCCACATGGTTTCTGTCCATGCACTCCAGTTTATCAAACCTCACTTCCCAACTTGTGAGATATAATGAGACTGGCTCCACCCACCAAGTGTGCACGCCTCACCTCCTTGTTTGAAGACAAGCCAAAGTACTAACTCCCTGCAGATGTCAGACAAAGTTCCCTCTGTGGACGTGAACAAGGAGATGTTGGTGGCTCCGTTAGGGGTTTCTGAGGCCAGCTTTGGAAACTGGCTCTCCAGCGTCCCAATGTCTCTCACTGTGACTTCCTCGAGGCTCCCCAGCCAGCCCAGCCCAGCCCAGATCCCCGTGCCCGCCTTTCTGGAGAGCCCATTTCCTTCTCACAGAGATGCCTCACCCGAACCAGAGGGTCTGTGGGTGCCACTTCTTCTCCAAGTACACATCAGAGCAAGCACCCTGAAGTCTGCCATCTCTGCTGACTTTTCCCCTCAATTGTCCTCTGTTCATCATCTTGTAGAATAAGTGAAAGGATGGTAACTACATTAAACATACTCTACTGACAATATTCACCTTGGTGTATCGGCTCACACTTGACAAACCACTTTTATGTTCATTTTCCATTTGGTTTTATCCCTATAGTAATTCCATTAAATAAAGACTCCATCAGCCTTGAACATGAGCAACACATTCTGATCATTCCAGATGAAGGCAATGTGGTTTCCTACCCTGAGGCTCCCCAGTGCGTGAGACAGAGCGAAAGTCATGATTTTAATTCCATGACATTTTGATAAGGCACTCTCCTCTCCTACTTAGAATGAGTATGATGGGATCCAAGGGCTCTTGAGCCCCTAGCCACTGGACTGGGCCAGGGAACCAGGTCAGAGTGATAGGACAGCCAACACTGGAATCTGGTCCTCAAATTCTTACCATCTCTCCCTCCTTGGAATGTCTTCCTCCAGCTGGATCAACAGTTGGATTAATTAAAGTTGGTATCCCCATGAAGCTAACGCCTCCCTGTCCCTTGTTCAGTGTGTATCCACCAAGTTCTTGTCAAGTCCATATGCTTTTAATGGCATTAGTTCTAGTAACCCCTTCTTAATGGTAATTGTATGTTTCGTACCCAACATTTGCACACACACACACACACGCAGGCAGAAATCACTTACGGATTTGGTGTTACTTTTAAAGATTTGTATATTATTTATTTTTTTATTTGCATTTTTCTTTATCACAAGAATATCCACAAACATTTGAGAGATAGCAAATGACACTTACATGTGTGATATATATTTTCTCCAGTCCAGAGACAATGGTAATTGCAGGGGGCTTTGCAGTCCCTTCGCTATGGGACCATTTTCACAAGGAGATGGGAGCAGTGGTCCGGCCACTACTCTATGTGAGGTCACCTGACATAGCTGCACAGTGGCACGTTTGAGCCTTGCCACTGCACAGACGTGGCTTATACTGCAGCGTGACTGCATGATGGTGCAGGAAGGCAAGGCTGGCTCCAAACCCAGCACTGACTGAAGCCATGGCAGACCCACTGGTGGGAAGTCATGCCTCTGAAGTGTCTGCCCTGCCCAAAACTATCTTCCCCACAGTCATGGATTCAATTCTGTCCCCCTCAAATATGTGTCAGCTTAGCTAGGCCATGATTCTCCACGGCTGGGCAGTTATGTAATGTTTCCCCATGATGTGATCTGAGGTGATCAGCTCATCAGTTGTAAGAACGGTGGGATCACCCAGCTACGATGTAAAGTGTGGCCTGCAACACCTTCTATCTTCCAAGAGAATAAAAGAGAGAGAAGCAAGCAGAGGGCGGGATCTATTACCACCAAGAAAGAGGAGACCCCCAGAGTCCCTGCACTGGGGTCCTGCTAGGATGGAGAGACATACAGTGGGAAAGCCTTCTCTTAGAGCCGGCACTCTGAACTCAGACTCCTAGCTCCTGAACTGTGAGAGAACAATTTCTGTTTGCTAAAGCCACCCACTTGTGGTATTTCTGTCATAGCTGCACTAGAGAGCGAAGATCTCCACCCACCCACCCTCCACTCCTCTGATGTGGCAGCCCCACACGCCGTGTTCTGGTAGCAACCATGACAGATACAGGGTACCAAAGGGCAACCCAAGAGCCCAGTCACACATGTAACTCTCAGTGGGAAGACAAGGAGTGGGTTTATTTCTTCCAGCGGGGAGAACTAGGGGGTAAGAAATGAAGGCTCTGGGAGCTTTGAAGAGGAAGGATGAAGGAATAAAGTCATCTCTTGACTGAAGGCCAGGTATGGGTTCTGTGTGGCCAGGAGTAGGAGACCCTGCAGACATGCAGTTCCAGAGGTGGGTGACCTGGAAAGGACTCCCAAGGAAAGCTGGAAGTTCCAGTGATGCCTGTAGGACACGTGTTGTTATTAATGCAGCTCACCGATGTTTTGAGCTCTAAATTTCCAGGTGTAGATAAGGCTTTTGCAACAATGCCTATTGCTACCGAGGAAAGGTGATAGCTGCAGTGGCTTGCTGGTCTATGTGAAACCATCATGACCAAGCTCAAGCTACCAGCACGACATCACTGCCCAGGAGCTGAGATGCTCAGTAGCTCACCGGGGACCAGCATTTCCACCATATGATGCAGGCGGCACAGACAACCTCAACACAGAGATGAAAGCAAAGCAGTGTGGAGTTAACCGGGGTCTTGAGTTTTTATTAGCTTGGTTTTAAACATAATTTATTTGTGCAAGTTCCTATTATTTAATGTTTAATGATGGTCGTGTTAAATTCCTGAAACTCTAACAATCAGTTCTCAAGAAGACTGAGAACAACACTGTTGCACCTGCCTCTGGGCTCCCCCTTGGTCCTGTTCCCCTTCGACCCAACATCACTGTCATTCTCTTGACTTAGACTGTGTCTGATCCTGTGGAAGCCAGCCACATGACACTACCCCTGTAATGGACCTGCTCTCAAGCACTTTCTGAGCTCATGCATGTCATTTTCCACATTCAAGGCAATAGCACTCCCTCACTAGCATAAGGGGAGCTCTGGTGGCATAGTGCCTGAGGCATTTGACTGCTAACCAGAAGGCTAGTGGTTCAAACCCACCAGCCACTCCTCAGAAGGAAGATTGGGTGATCTACTTCCGTAGAGATATTGCCTCAGAAACCCAAGGAGGGGGGCACCTGAGAGACCTAGGGAGCAAAGAAGGTCCCTGGTGGCTCATACGGTTTGCACTTGACCAATAACTGAAAGGTTGGAGGTCCAGACTCACCCGGAAGTGCCTCGGAAGCAAGTCTTGGTGGTCTGCTTCCATGAGATCAGAGCCTTTGAGGACCGTGTGGAGCACAGCTCTAGTCTGACCCCCACGGGGCTGCCATGAGTTGGGGTCCACTTAACCCCAACAGACAGGCTGTGAAGGGGCCAGCCCACCCCTGCACCCAGTCCTCTGTAGTCACATATCCTGTTATGTCCATGAGGGCATGGCTTCCAGAGGACCCTTTCATGTCCCCTTGGGACTCTGATCTGATTAGTGAAGACACCCCAGCCATCTCCAGAGCCTCCGTTGACTGTTGACTCCATCCCGTCGCGGGAGCCTTGATGCTCCACCAACAGCCACTTTTTGTCCACTTCGTTATTCTCACCCCATGTCCTCCCTCTGGAGCCCGCTCACTGCGCTTCACCTCAGCCTGGAAATCTGTCCATCACCCTTCAGAGTTCAGCACAAGTGAGCTCAGTTACCTAACCAAAGAGAATCTGCTCTCCCGCCTTGTGCTTCCAGTCTGCCTCGCCCACCACAGTCACCAGACATAGCTTGTCCTCCCACAGGGAGTGCAGGGCTCCTGTGGCTCGGCCATGCCTGGTGCACCTCCGCACCCACAGCACAGGATCCCACATGCCACCTGTCTCTGGGAATAAGGTCCGTTGGTGAATTGGGAATATCAGCAGATACTGAGCCGATGAAATCACGGGACAGCAGCTTAGCTGGTGGGAATACAGGCGCAGTGAACAAAGCAAGGGAGGAGCCTGGCTCCCTGCACCCCGCTCCTGCACTCCACCGCATCTCACTGCCTAAACCAGTCTGCAAACCGCAACCAGCTCCCACCAACCAGCTGCCGTCACGCCAGCTCCGACTCATGGGGCAGAACAGAACTGTGCTCCAGAGCGTTTTCAGGGGCTGGTTTTTCAAAAGTAGATTGCCAGGGCTTTCTTCCAAGGCACCTGTGTGTGGACTCGAAGCTCTGACCTCTGGGTTAGCAACCCAGTGTGGTGACTGCCGGAGCCACCCCGGGCCTCTAGGAATAGCAAACACATCCTCAGATTCCCTCTTCCTGTACCCGTCCCCCTCTTGAGGTTGGGACCAGAGTTTTCTTACAGTTTCCTGGGAGAAAATTCTACCAGTGCCTCTACATAACATGCACGAGAATCACTTGAGGGCCTGTCAAAATGTGGATGCTGACTCAGTGGTCCTGGGGAGAGGCCTGGGAGTCTGCATTCTAATGAGCTCCAAGGAGCACCCTAGGAGCACGGGGGGCCACAGTCGCAATGGGGATGCTGTGTGCTGCTGGTACAACAGAGACCCCACTCGGGGTGCAGGGTGGAGGCAGCGATGGGGGCAGTGGCTGGACTGCATCTGGTTTGTAAGAGGGCATGTGCAGAGCTGCAAGGTCGCAGGACAGGGCCTCTCGGGAGGACAGTCCGTGCAGACCTGTGGGTGATGATTTTGGGGCACTGGGGGGGAGCTCACACACTGGCAGGGATAATTGCTCCCACTTCCTTCTCCTGTTTTTCACAAAGTTTGATGGGTGGGTAAGTAATTAGGCCCTGGGGAGGCTAGCAGAGAGCTATTTTTTTGGTGATGAGCCATTTCCCTGCTGGCCCAACAGCCAGGTGCAAAGTCTCTCCCCTCTGTGGATAAGGGAACAACGGCCGGTGGTCAATGGTCTGAATAGCAGAATTGGGAGGCTGGTGCCTGTGCGTTCCCCAAGCAGGTGTGGGGCACCCACGCCATTCCGCCCACCCCCACTGCCACCCCATCATCAGAAGCAGGTGTGGGGCACCCACGCCGTTCCACCCACCCCCGCCGCCACCCCCATCACCAGAAGCAGGTGTGCAGGAGCAGGATGGAGTTTGCATCCACTCTTTGCTCTGTGCTGCTAATCCTGGCCCCAACTCAGACGCACCCAGTGTCCAAAATCAGACCTGAGGGTCTTGCTCTCCCTCACCCTGACTTCCAGGCCCTCCTGCTCGCCAGATCTGCTGTCTCTGCTTACCCCTCGCCCCCAGGACCCTGGGGACCTGGAGGCCTCAGAGGGCACCTGTCCTCCCACAGGACCTGTATCTGAAGCCTGTCAGGGGGTGCGCAGCATGTCAGTGCCTGACCAGTTCCCCCTCCCTCCTGAGTGTGCCAAGAGCGCAACCGAGGAGGCTTGTGACCCTGCCGTGTGAGGGAGGACTGGGAGATCGGCCTTCGGGGAGCCATTTTTGTTTGGTAAGAGGTTTGGGGGCTAGGAGGGAGAAGGGGTGCCCCAGGAGTGGGGGTGCTGCTCCCAGGGACCTCCCAGAGAGGGCAGCTGGTGAGAGGGCCAAGCTGTGCCTGAGTCGGGGGCCCCCCACCCCTCCTGGAGAGCTGTTCGTCTTCAGAAGGTGTCCTGGACCTGCAGCTGGGACCAAGAAACGAGCAGAGAGAAGAAGGGAGAGGGGAGGCTTCCATCACACCTTTATGGCAACAGACGTGAGTGCTGAGCTCCTGCCATGGACGGCACCTTTGTCGCGAGAGTTTGGACTGTCCTGTTTAATCCAGATCCTTCCCTGTTTGCAGGCCCGGCTCCCTCAGAGCCAGTAGAGACACTGAGATGAGGCTCACAGGCTCATTCCAGAGTCATCCAGGGAGGCAGAGGCAGAGACAGGCGTGGGCATGGGCAGCAGGGAGGAGAAGCAGATATCAGCATGGTCCCACCTCGGCGCCAGCCACCTGGACAGGCCCCCACTCCTGTGACATGCCACGTGCACCCAGCCCCTCACCTGCAGGTTGCTGTGCTTCCAAGGAGCACCCTTTTGGTCACATCCTCGATGACCTCCTTGACTTTCTCATTTCGGAAGGTGAAGATGAAAGGGTTGAGGAAGGGGGTCACCACGGCTGTCATCAGGGCCACCACCTTGTTGAGGTGTGTGGCGTGGCCCTTGCCTGGCCTCACGTAGATGAAGATGGTGCTGCTGTAGCCTAGCACCACCACTGTGAGGTGGGAGGCACAGGTGGAGAAGGCCTTCTGGCGCCCCGTGGGGGAGGGGATGCGCAGCACTGCAGCCACAATGAGGATGTAGGAGGCCAGGATGAGCAGCATGGTGACCAGCACGAAGACCAGTGACAGGAAGAAGTCCATGAGCTGGATGTGGCGGGCGTCCGAGCAGGACAGGCGGAGCAGAGGGGCAGAGTCACAGAAGTAGTGGTCGATGACGTTCGGGCCGCAGAACCAGAGCCGCGTCTTCTGCAGGGTCGGGGAGACAATGGAGAGGAAACCCACCAGCCAGCAGGCCACCACCAGCTTCACACAGACTGGGCCGCTCATGATGGTGGGGTAGTGCAGGGGGCGGCAGATGGCCAGGTAGCGGTCAAAGGCCATGACTGTGAGGATCAGGAAGTTGGTGGAGCCCAAGGAGAAGTAGAAGAAAGATTGGGTCAAGCACTCAGCCAGCGACATGGTCTTTTGCGTGGACAGCAGGTCGGCCAGCATCCTGGGCACCACTGTGGAGGTGACAAGCACCTCCACGAGGGAGAAGTTGCCGAGGAAGAAGTACATGGGCACATGGAGGCGGGAGTGCAGACAGGTGAGGGTGAGGATGGCCAGGTTCCCCAGCACCGTTAGCACGTACACTGGGAGGATGAAGGCAAAGAGGATGACCTGGGACTCACGGAGATGGGAGAAGCCCAGCAACACGAAGTCCCTGACGACACTATGGTTGCTCATCGCACTCGGTGCCAGCTCGCCGTGGGGCCTGTGAGATGGGCGTTCAGTGGGACACGGTCCCCACCCGTCCTTGGCCATGCTCCCAGGCAGCTGGCCTGCCTCCCAAGCAGACAGGTCTGTGCACATGGCTAATCCTATGTCCAGAAGACACACCCCAAAAGCCAGAGTGTCCACGTGGGACAAGAACGGACTGAATGTGATGGATGGGTCAAGGGGCTGGCCACCTCCATGTTATCACCACCACTAAACTCTCTTTTGCCATAGAGTCAACTCTGACTCATGGCAACCCCAACGGTATCAGAGTAGAACTGTGTCTATAGGGTTTTCTTCTTTAAAAATAATAATAATAATGTTTTCTTGTGTTTTCAGTGGTTTACACAGCAGTTTAGGTTCCCATTTGACAATTTCTACACAGGTTGTTCAGTGATGTCGTTATTTTCTTCACAATGCCTGAACAGTCTCATTATTTCCTTTCTGGTTGTCCTGCTTCTGTTAATCTAGTTTCCCTGCTCCCTTAAATTCTCATTTTTGTTTTAAAGCAACTGCTGACCATTTGTTTTAGAGGGTTTTCAATGGTTGAGTTTTTAGAAGTAGGTCAGGCCTTTCTTCCAAGGCCTTTCTGGGTGGACTTGGTTTCCAACCTTCCAGTTAGCAGCCAAGCACCCAGGGACCTTTATTTCATTTGACAAACACTTACCAGGCTCCCCTTCTGTGTAGGACATTTTGCTGAGACTAGGGATCATGTAAGGAGCCCTGGTAGCACAGTGCCTAAGGCTAACCGGAAGGCTTACCAGCCACTCTGTGGAAACAAGACTGGGCAACCAACTTCCATAAAGATTTACTGCCTTGGAAACCCAATGGGGGTTGCTATGAGTGGGAATCAACTTGATGGCATTGGATTTGTATATTTGTTTTTATTTTTTTTGGTTTTGGGGATCATGTGGTCAGCCTTATCCTCACGGCCAATGGAACAGTGTTTGAATGATGATGGTAATGGCCACTTCTCCCGTTCTCCCCATGGGCCAGGATCTGTGATAGGTGCCTTGAGCATGCCTTGCCCTCCTCTGGGCTCAGTCCTTCCCTTCTCATGTGGGACGCCCATGTATGACCGACACCACTCTGGACTGCAAGGATCTCTCCGTGTCCTCCCATCATTCTGCTGTCCTCGTCTGTCTCCATCTCAGGCTCCCAACTTGTGACACTCCCCACAGATGAGCTCTCACTGTTCTTTGACCTCTGTAGTCTCTTTTTCAAAACTCTTACCTTCTTCCTCTACCAAAGCAACCTTGACCATTGGTGCACCTCCCCAACCCAGACCGTTGTCCTCCTCCCAGTTCCAGTCCACATGTCTAACTGGCTGCTGGCACAGCCACAGGCTTGACCTGCCAAAAAATACACACACTGTCCTGCCCCAAAGCCACGTCACTCTTTAGGCCCCTGCCCTCCCAGCAAGCAGGTCTGAAGCCTGAAGGCATCCCCAAATCTGTCTTCCTTCCTCTAACCACGTTCATTGCCGTCCTTAGGGATATTTTCCCATCCAGCCCGCTTTCTTGTCCAGCCTTGAACCACCCTGTTGTGTTGTTGGTTGCTGTCAAGTTGAATCCAACTCACAGCGCCCAGAAAGGACAGAGTGAAACTGCACCAGAGGGTCTCCAAGGCTGTCA